GGCGCCCGGCTGCCCCGACTCTTATAAAGCGCGCCAGGAGGGCTGGCCGCGGGAGCCAATCAGCCCGGGCCGGGCCGACTCTTCCACTCCCCCCTTGGGCTCCCCTTCCTTCCTTCCGCCCTGCCTCCCTGGCTCTGTCACTGAAGGGCCTCCTCCCCATCCAGGCCCTCCGAGGAGGCTGCGGGTTACTCCTCCAGCGGTGCCAGGCTGCTTGCGCATCCAAAGTTGCCCTTCCGGAGGGCCAAGAGACCGGCTGGGGAAGTCGCAGATGAGTCTTGTTTCGGTGAAGGACAAGGGAGGCCTCCTGGACACTCCTCAGGCAGATCACAGGCCAGAGCCTCAGTTTCCTCCCTACGAGCAATCTGATGGTCTCCAAAGACGCTCTCTATCCCCACCCTCCCACACACAAATCCAGCACGGAACATCCTCGGGGATCCTAGGCTTCAGCCTCTGTCTCGGTTCCAGGTATTTAGGAAGAATCTGAAAAGTCCGGAACCACCTTTCCGAATCCCGGTTCTGCGTCTTCACCGGGGCTTTGAGTGAGGCCGATTTTGAATGTGGCAGCAGAGAGCCTGGAGACACCTACTCTGACTTGAAGAAAATGAAATCGGCGCAGAGCAAAGGGGAAAGGGCCAGAAGCAGCATCCCAGGACTGCTCTCACCCGACTGTCAGGAAAGAGAGGTGTTACACAAAACTGATGATGTGGTTAGATGTTAGTTTCATTGCTGATGAAACCTTCCCAGGGTTTTTGTAAAACCTCTATTCAGAATTGTGGCCGTTGGCGAGGAAATGAAAATATTAACATTGCTCACGAATTCTGATGCATCTTTGGAAGGGAGGAGAGGAGGCCAATTTAAACACCCATAAAACTGAATATGTTTCCACTTTTTGGTTAATAAAGTCAGCCCGTAGTAGCCAGGGGTTTCGCATCTGTAGATTCAACCCACCACGGATCAAAAATATTGAGATTTAAAAAGTGAATGGTTGTGTCTGGTCTAAACGTGAACAGACTTGTTTTCCTTGTCATTATCCCCTAAATATTACACAAAAACTATTCATATAGCACATACACTGAATTAGGTATTATATATAATCTAGAAAGGATTTGAAGTATATAGGAGGATGTGCCTAGGTTATATGCAAATACTATGCCTTTTTTTTTTTTTAGTTGGAGTCTCACTCTGTCGCCCAGACTGGAGTGCAGTGGCCACTCCCGGCCACCGCAGCCTCGACCTGCTGGGCTTGGGCGATCCTTCCGCCTCAACCTTCCGAGTAGCGGGAATTACAGGCATGCGCTACCACTCCCGGCTGATTTTTTGATTTATTGTAGAGATGAGGTCTCGCTGCCTAGGCGGGTCTCGAACCCTCAGGCTCAGGCAATCCACTCACCTCAGCCTCCCAAAGGCGCGGGATTACAGGCTGAGCCACCGAGCCCGGCTACTATGCCATTTTATATGAGAAAATTGAGCATTTGTGATTTTTTAGTATCTGTGGGGAGAGTGGTGTCCTGGCACCTGTCTCCCATGGATCCTGAGGGACCACTGTACTTTTTTGTTTTGCATCCTCTTACTGCCTAATTCTATAATGAGCACTTTTACAGACAAGATGTGTCACAAATGACATATGTCTGAGTAGTTAAAGCGTGTGTTCTATTTTATTTTAATTTTAGAATTGTGGGGTACATGGGAGGTTTTATTACACAAATCCTCCCTCCCACCCTCCAGAGTGGAGGTGATACCCAGCGGGTGGTTTTGTGTCCCTTATCCCACCTCCCTCCCTCTCTCCTTTAGTGTTGTGCAGTGTCTGTTGTTCCTTATACCCAATGTTTAGTGCCCACTTATGAGAGAGAACAAAATCATGTGTTCTAAACTGAACACTCAGACCTCAGTACATGTAGAAGAATGACCAGGTTGGATTAAAAATCAGCGCCCATAAAAAGGAAATGGTTTGTTCAAATTCAAAAATGCCATTAGCATTTATATCTGTATGATTATATAGTTTGATAGGGAAAATAAAAGAAAATTCACCATAGAAACAATATTATTTTCTCCTCCATGTAGTCCTTGGCCTCTTCCTACTTTTTGTTAACTTTGGGAAGTAGGTTTGTTTCTTCCTCTCCTCTGCTTCTGCCTCCTCCTCCTCCTTTTTCTTTACTCAAAAAACAATTCTGTGTTTCTTCCTTCTCATAAATCTTTATCGGTATCAAAAATTTTCAAATATTTTACAAGTAAACCCACAATAACTTTACTGTAGTCCCTTCTTTTCTTTTAAATGAGTTGTTATGCAACAACGTATTATACATTTTTTAAAATTTTCCAAACATTTGATCCTCAAGTTACAAGAAGGTCCCTTACATTTCTGAATCATATTCGGGCATGCTTGGCTCAGGACCGTCACATATGGGACCATAAGACCCTACAGAGTTATTCATATGATATTCCTCCTGCTTGGGAGTTTTCCTTTAGTGCCCTAAAGATGTCATTCCATTGAACTCTGGCTTCCATGGCTGCTCTGGAAACTCTGCTGACAATCCACTTGCTGCTCCTTCCAAGTTAATGTATCTTCTTACCTTCTTATCTTCTTCTTGTTTTCTTCTTGTCTATCTTCTTATTTATTATTTTATTTATTATTTATCTTATTTTTATTATCCGTATTTACTTATTTATATTTTCTTCTCTTCCTATTTACTCATTTGTCATTTATTCCATCTTATCTATTCATTTGTCAACACTCCACTGCCTAATGAATAAGTAAACCCCATCTGTTCAAGGACTTTTCCTGTATTATTTACCTCTGTAACTCTCACCACTTCCTAGATTGTTGTCTGGTCCCAGTGGTGCACAGTAAATACTTGCTGGACAAAAAATGAGCAAAGGGATCTTCAAAGCCTCTGCTACACTCCAGTCCAAGCCACACTGTTTCGCACTTGAATTAATCATGTATTCCAGCTAATCCCACTACCTCCAGTCTTGCTGGCTCCTGAACAGTTCTGTATACACTGATCATGATTTTCTTTCAAAGGCAAAAATATATCATTTCCACAGTCCTCTAATGGCGTCTAAATGTTGTTGGTACAAAGCCTAAACTCTGGAGATGAAAAACTTCAAATGGTCCTTCACAAGCTGGCTCAGGATTCCCTTTCTACCTCAGCTTCGAATGGTCCCCTTAGCTAAAATATCCTAGCTACACAAATTCTCCCACCCATCCTCAGTAGAGGACATGGTACCCCATGGGTGTATGTCCAAGGGGGACATACAGGACAAAGGATCAGGGAGAGGAAAGACTGTGGAGAATGTTGAAGACCATGACAAATTGGAGGAGAGCACACAAATTCTATTCTGAAGCATCAAGTTGGCTGTACCAAACATGTCCATAGACCTACAGTCTTCAGTCCTTACCAGGGATTTGTGGAGCCCCTTAAATCACACTTGCCTGGCAGGTTTACTCTCCAGCTCCTGAACGTGGCTTGCATTTTCTAGTTTCTACTTCCTTTTTTTTGCTTCATCTTTCCTCTCCAGCCTCATGCTTTTTGAACCGGCAACAAAGAACTGCTTGCATCTTCCCATTTCTTACCTCTATGTCTTTAGTCATTCTGTTTTTTTCTGCCAAGATTGTTCTTCCCTGACTTTTTCACCTGGACCTGGCTCATCTTCAAACATTCGGTTAAGACCTTTCGTCCTTATGAAGCTTTTCTAGATGCTCCTTCCCATACTCCTTCCTACTTCTCTATAATTTTTTTATTACACTATGTGCATATGTTTAACATAGTGCAGAAACTTCATTTATAATCTTTAATTTACTTCTCTATGTCATCTACTAGACTGTAAGTTCTTTGAGGGCAGTCATCAGCTTTGTATCCCTACTGCCCTAACACAATGCTTAATGAATGTTTGTAAAATGCATGAACAAATTAAAAAGTAAAATAAATGTTTTTGGCGTTCCTATAACAGAAGGCTGAACTGGGAAGAAGACAAAATGTTAAAGAGGAGAGTGCCAAGGTCCCCAAACGTCACTCTCTGAATATATTGATAGCCTAACTTAACTAGGAAAACATAATCAGGGTATAATATGCCTGGACATTAAGGGGAAATAAATACGTGTATGTAAATGCTAATTTTGTAAAAATTTAATGCCAAATTATAGAGCTTCAAAAAACTTGAATCTGAGTGGCCATCAGATATTATGTAATTATCTATAGCAGCAGTCTTCAAACTTTTCAGTCTGAGGACCTCTTTATTCTCTTAAAGAATTGGAGACCCCAATAAGCTTTTTAAAATGTAGTTATATCTATAAATATTTACCATATTAGAAATTAAAATAAAAACTTTTTGTTCATTTATGGGAGCAACCTGTAACATTTTATGAAAAATAATATAGTTATTCTGAAAATCTTAGTAAAAAGGGCTGCATTGTTTAAATGCAAATCTTAGTAAAATGAAAATCTTAGTAAAAAGGGTTGCATTGTTTATCTTTTGCAAATCCCTTTGATAAAAAACAACTCTATTCTCCTATTTGCTTCTGTACTCAATCTCTTGGGGTAAATAGTTTTTCCTGAAGTGCATGAAGAAAGTTAACCTTACACAAACATATAGTTAGAAAAGAGAGGGCTATTTTAATTGCCTCTTCAGATAATTGCAGAGTTCTTCTTTTATACTATACCAAACCTCAACAGTGTCATTTCTTTTTTTTTTGAGTGGGAGTCTCACTCCGTCGCCCAGGCTGGAGTGCCATGGCATGCTCACAGCCACCCTAGCATCAACCTACTAGGCTCAGGTGATCCTTCTACCCC